TCAGCGTTGCGGTTGTGATACGGTGTGGTCGGTTCTCGGTATGGTGTGCTATGGCATGTTCTGTAATAGTAGTATCTGGTGTGCTATATTATGTTTTGGTATGAGGTACAGTGGTATGCATTGATCTGCCTCAGTTCACCGTGTCATAGCGCATGGTGTTAGATTATGTTGTGATGTGTTGAACCAGTTTACGCCGCGCTGTGGGAGGCCATGATGTCATCGGTGGTGCGATGCATATGTCATGTTAGAGGTGGTGTTGACGCTGTGCTATGTCGTGGAGTGGGATGGCCTGGTGTGCGTTGTGTTTGACATGTTATGGTATGGTACAAGCTGTCAAGTTATGGTGTGTTATGCATGATCCGATATGCCTGTCGTAGCATTCGCTGGTATGCTGTGGTGTGTTATGGTATGATATGGCATGTCATGTTAGGATGCGACATGTTATGTTTGGACATAGTCGGTTGTGCGATGTGCTATAACATGCGTGATTTGTCGTGGTGTCTAACGTTATGTGATGCGATGTTGAGCTATGGTATGCACTGGTCTGTCATGGTGTGTACTGTTACGATATGGTATGTCATGGTGCGGTATGGTGTGCTCGGGTATGTTATGGTAGGCGGTGTGATGTTGTGCTGTGGCTTGTCATAGCTGATAGTGTTGTGCTGTACGACGTTCTGCAAGTGGAGAACATCGCCCTGGCATGTTATGATCTGCTGGCGCGAGGCGAGACACTCGGTAACGCTCGGGGGACCTGGGGATCTGGCGGCCGCGGTATGCAGAATGGCGCGAGGCGAAACTCTCGGGGACACTCGGAGGACCTGGGGATCTGGCGGCCGCGGTATGCAGAGTTGCGCGAAGCGAGACTCTCGGGGACACTCGGGGGACCTGGGGATCTGGCGACCGCGGAATGCAGAGTGGCGCGAGGCGAGACTCTCGGGGACACTCGGGGGACCTGGGGATCTGGCGGCTGCGGTATGTAGGGTGGACGTGTCGGGAGATCTGTTCCTAAAACTACCGACCTCAACCTGTCGGGTGGGGAACGAATAGGAGTGGCGAAAAACAAAAGCGATACCATGAGCGAGGTTGGCCTGGGAAAAGACAAGTGTCTGCAGGATGTTTGGGTGAAGAGGAAGCGTCGAGCGGCAATGCATGGCGAAGCGAGTAGCAGAGTCGCGACGGAGGACACATCAATCGGCATGCTATGGCCTAAATAAACACTTCTGGGATGAAGACGTGATGCTAGAGATAACTATGTGAGAAGCAATAAGAGGAAACGGCCGCGTATACGGAAGCAAGAAAAAGGCGGCGTGGAGCCCTACGGTGGGATGCTCACAGGAACACATGAAAGAACAACGCAGGAGGACGCGACATACTTAGATCACAATCCGTTACTCGATCCTGGAAACACCGTGGTGCATAAAGAAGACGACACCCACGCACACACACGTAGGTACGCACGTCTTCGCAAGAGTAGGCCGACAATCCCAACTCGCCACCTCGACTCGCTCCACAATCCTCTGGCGGCACAACACTCACACTTGACACGAAAGTTATAAAAGACAGCAACTGCGGTGGCGGACCTACAAAGAATAAGAGGCCAGTCAGGTCCACCTCGGGGTGTCGCTCACATGCTGGAAGCAGAGGCATGCCAACAAGAGGGACACACATCTGTGTATATCTATATATATATATATACATGTATGCATACAGACAGACAGATAGGCAGACAGACAGAGAGACATACACACATGCATACATACATACATTTAGACTGATGGGGTAACAAAATTGACGGAAGGAAATATTACACGAGGAGGCTGGAGGGAGTGGATCCGAGAAGACACGCATGAACTACACCTAACCTGAGCGGGATAACAACAAACGGATGACATCTTAGAATAGACCTTGACGTCAGCGGAACGTGGTAACCAAGAGCGGCGACGGACAGGCAAGCCACCTGTGAGCTCAGCCCGTCAGGGTCGGGGCCGAGGCATACTTGGCAAAGTGGTGGGAGGGGCACCTCCAACCTGCAACCTCGAGATCAAATCGCGACATCAGCAGCAGCTCACGCAGGATCTGGAGAGCCTGCACACCTGTTCAAGCGAATGTGTACGTATCGGAGTATCGCTGGGGCGATCTTCACACTTTGATCCTCGCTGCTTCCTTGCATTTTGTGTACGGGGCGCGAGTCCAATACTAGCGCCAACAGTCGCCGCGCCCACCCCTCCCTTCCCTCACTTCTATGTATATGTGAAAACCCTAAACGGGGCTGCGAAGACGCTCAAGCAACGCAAACCGAAAACAAGGTGCACTCCAGACCTGCATGTTTACTTCCAACAACCCACGGCCTGTGCCATAGCATTACATATTTGCCGGGCGCGAGCTTCCAGAAGTTCGGATCGAAAAGCAAGACTGTGACGACGCCGTGATCGCTTCCGTCGACGTCGCCGTCGCCGTCGACGCCGTGGTCGTTGCAGTCGCCGCTCTCGCCGTCACCGCCATCGCCCTCGCCGCCGCCGTCGCCGCCACCGTTGTCGTCGACGTCGCCGCCGTCGCCTTCGCCGCCATTGTCGTCGTCGTGGCCGCGAGCGTCGTCGTCGTCGGCGCCTTTGCAGGCGACGTCGTTGCCGCCGACGTCGCCACCGTCGCCACCGTCGCCTCCGCAGTCGTTGTTGCCGCTGGTGTTGTCGTCGCCCCCGCCATCGCCGTCGACGTCGCCGCGGTCTGACCGTTCATTCCCCACCAGCAGAATACTCCACGGTCTGTAGGCCTTGCCTCGACGTGATCCTGATTCTGGGATGCAACAGGCCTGGTGGTTCTGACATCTCCCTGGCCCAGTTGCCCATGTTCCTTGGTGGGCTCCTTGGGTGGCGGAGCTTCCTCGGGTGCCCCCTGTTCACCAGCGGGTTCCCAAAATTCCCGAGCGGGTTACCCGGATTACTTGGGTTTCTCGAGTTCCGCGAGTTGCTGTATGCATTGCATGGCATTGCTATGAGTTGCAATTGCGTCGCTGTGCGCAACATGTATTTGCATTGCGCTGCCCCGTGTCGCAGTGCTTCGCGTTGCACCGCTTCGCATTGCTGTGCTCTGTATTGCAGCAAGATGACCTTGTGCTGCTTTGCAGAGTGTTGCTTGGCATTGCAGTTACTGTTGTGTTTCGCCGTGGATGAATGTTCATTGCAGTGGCATTGAGTTGCATGGCTTTGCATTGTAATCACTTGCATCGCATTGCACTGCATGGCGACTGGATGCCTTGGCATATGATTTCCGATGTCCTTGCAATGCTTTGCAATGCATCGCGTTACATTGCCATCTCTGTGTCTTGCTTTGTATTGCAATGGACAGTGCGTAGCGCAACATAATGCGACATACGACATGGTCGGGATTCCTTTGGCGTGCCTACAGCGTCCCTTTCTGGGCCTGCCTGTGGTAAGCCGAGGTGCCTGTCCTTAGAATAGGGCCAGGATGATGTCACGATAAAACTGTCTCAGGAGACGTTTCAGGATCTCCAAACATCCAGCGGCCATTGTTTCTGCAGCCCATGCGGAACAATTGCAAGCAGTGGGGATACCGAACATATTGGAAGATAGCGTTGTCGTGACTTCTTGCTCTTCTGCTCGAAGCCAGGGCAGCGGTGCGGGGCCGCCCTCACACGGCCAGCGGCCACGACGCCCTCGGCAGGCCCTGGGTCGGGGAGGCGTAAGACTCGGGTACGGGAGGCTCGGGTTGGCCCGACGGGGCCGCGACAACAGTGGCGAGACCAAATCTGGAATTTGGCGCGAGCTCCCGCTGCAAGCATCCCACGAAAATTGGACCGTCAAAATCCAGGACGCGCTTGTCAGAAAACGTCGGCAAATCCGAGTTCCGGCTTACTCGAGTCTGACGTTTCCCCGACTGGAGAAAACGCCGAGCGGGGCCAGGGGGTCCTCGGGACACTGCGGCCTGAATTTCACCTCGCCGTTTCTCCCCAGCCTCCTTGCCCTTCTCCCTCTTCCCCCCTCCCACCCCTCCAGAGGCGTGGCCGGAGCGTGCCTTGGCTGTCTGCCCCCAGGGAGGTGCACTCAAGAGGCGAAGTCCTCACCTGGGCTACGAAGTCCTCACCCCCATGGAGGGGCTGAGGGGGCGGCTGGGATGAATCGAAGGTCAGATGCACGTAAGGTCAGACGGAGCCGAACTGAGAAAAATGAATGTTGAAAATGATCCACGGCTGCCTGACCTGGAGAGACCACAGATTCTCTCGTGGAGCTCGCCCAGCGACGTACATCAGCCCGGTAGCATCATAGTCCAGAGGCGCCAATCGGCCAGGTGATCAGCACGCTCGTTCAGGAATTGCCCAGTCTGGTTCGCAACCTTCCTGAGAATCCGTGAAATCCGAGGATATCCGAGATGATGGGCGAAGGCGCAGCTTCGTTGGGGGCAGCGCCCCATGAGCCCACGCCTGTCTGGACGTGGAGGCCCTCGGCCGGCGTCGCACGTGACTCCGTCAAAGACACCGTGGGGAATCACGCGCATGCGCGACTGTGACATCCGTGTCCACGCCTTCGCGGCCTGGAACTGTGGTGCGGGTCGGGCACGCAGGGCCGCACGTGGAAAATCGATCGAACGGTTGGAAAGTAGGCAAGGCAGAATACATGACGGTACAGGAGGTGTCCACTTTACACGCAGCACAAGGACATGTGCTCGAAGCCAGCAGCGCAGGTGCGATACGCGTATCGCAGCAGATTCGCGTTGCGTCCCGCTTGCACTATGCTGGTTTACGCAGGCAGCCAGCACTGCACGACAGGACAAACTGAATCTTCCATTGGGCCTTGTCGTGTCGATTGCAGCTCCGCTACCATGGAATGCATGCTGAAACCGCTGACTATGAAGATCACAAAGTTGATTCGAGCTGAGCCCAACAACGTGGGCGATTGACTGCTTAACGACAGAGTGCCGCTAGCACGCTACGGCCTATGCCACGAAACTTGCGGATCGCCAGTCGCGCGCACCCTGCGAAAATCACTATACGCGGCTGAGCTTGTGGGAACTCTGGTGGTGGTATGCTTGCGTTGGTGCTCACCGCTGTCTCGGACGAGCGCTTGGCCCATCAAACCCCCGTGTTTCCCTGAACCCTAGATGACCCAGGCACGACCCCATGACTTCAAGAGGCCATGATGGCCACAGGGAGACCCCGCGATCCCAGTACCCCGCGATCACAAGAATGTCTTAGCAGAAACTGTCGGGGCAGAGCCGGTGGGACGATTTGACGAGTTGGCGGCCAACAAGCGAAGCTGAGTTACCAGGAAGCATCGAGCGACAGCCATGAGAGCGCTTTTCCAACCCATTAGCGTCCGTAGGGAGAGGAGTGGTCCGTAACGAGGACAGGGAGGGGGCGCGGACATGGTCGGCGGGCGTCCATGCAAGCCCGGAGGCGCACACAGGCGCAGAAACCCTCGCAGATGTGCAGCAGCGGCAAACCAGAGGCTTGCGCGCATCAAACCTATTCGCACGCCTTCCTGCGGGCGCGTCAGCACACGCTCGATGACCCAGCCCTGCACGTTGCGAACAAGCGGCGGGTGAAACCCCAGGGCCGTGTGCACCACGGTACTCCTGAGAGCATCACAAGGGCCTGCGAGGAGTGACGCGGCGTGTTCGTAACCGAGAGCCAGTCCCCCCCCCAGAAGCATAACACTGTGCGAAAACCCTGGCATCGCAACAATGCGCTGGACAGGTATCTCAATATCCACTGAGCACCACAACGCGCCTGCGAGCAGCGCAATGAACTGGCCAACAACGATACAGGTACCCACGACAATATGCAACCATAGCACTGCTTCTGAGCACCGCAGCTGTCTGGAAGCACCACACTGTGCCTGCGAGCACAAGTGTGGCTGCGAACAACAGCAACACACATATGCACAAAAGGATGCCGAAATTCACCAGCACTGCACCCCCCGTGTCTGAGATTGGCTCCCTCACCCTTCGCCCGACCTCAAGTACATATGCTGGCGCATCCCGCCTTGTGCAACGCAGCTTCCACGGCGGTGTGAAATCCATGCTTATTCTTCGGCGGCACCACAAGCCTCCAGCAGCAAGGGGGCTGGAAGCAGGGGGGGCCTCCTACATTCACTCCCTCCCGCCCCTCTCCTCCCCCTCCCATCATCCCACCCCGTCTTCTGCTCCCTACTTCCCCCACCATCCCCCACCCTTGATTCGCCCCCTCCCCCCCCCTTTCAATACCCATCGGAAGCACTTAGCCCTCCGTCCCCGTCTTCCCCTGCCCAGGCCTCTCCTTTCCCATCCTCCCACGCCCGCCACCGTGCCTCGGTGGCACGAAGTGGAGTGCCCTCCAGAACCTTTGCTCGACTTAAGTCGGGCGCGTCCCCCTACAAGGGGATTTTCGACGAGAAATAAAAAATACCTTAAAAATACACCAAAAAGGCAAACAAATGCTCAAAAAATAGTCCCCAGACTATTTTAGGATTATCTTTTTACTATCTTCGGGGTATTTTTTATTTTTCGTCGAAAATCCCCCTGTGGGGGGACAGGCCCGACTTAAGGATTCTTGGGGGTCCCAAAACCGTGTGGTGACAGAGAACCGCTGGCGACCTCGAAATCCGCCAAGACCTCACCGCAGGGTGCGCCACCACACGGGGCCCCGGGACCCTGGAGGTCCCCGTCGCCCGAGACGGAGAACGACCGAGTCCCAAAACCGCGCGCGGTGACCCCGAATCCCCACCGACTCACCGCACGGTGGGGTCACACACCCCGCCTGGGGGCCGCCGAGGATTCTTTGAAGGGGTTCGGGCCCCCGGCTCTCAGATCTGCCGGGGCCTCCGGCGTGCCCCTTTCCGCGGCTCCCGCCGCGCGCCCACTCTGCGGCTTCCCGCCGCGCGCCGTCGCGTGACTTTTGTTGTGCGGGGCCAGGAGGGCCCCAAGGAAGGCCAGGAGGGTCCCAAGAGGCCCCCGAGACGGTCCACGAGGGCCCCGCATCGCCGAACGATCAGTCCAGGACGCCCAAGATGGCCTCAAGGCGGCCGAAGATGCCCCCGAGACGCCCCAAGGGGTCTCCAAAAGAGGTATCCGAAGAGGGCCCGGGGAGGCCAAAATCATGTATTTTCGGTCAGTTGTTGAAGGAGTTGGGCGTCCCCGCCTTCTACGAAGGAGCCGAACTCCATACACTGACGGTTTTTTCGACCCTGCACTCCGGAAAGCGGATCCTGGTGAATACGGAATCCTTGTGTATACATTGTTCGTTGCTTCCCTGTAGAAAATGAGGAAACAAGCACACACCACACCACCGCGACGTCGTCCCCGACCTTCAACAAGTCCTGGAATGGAAGAACAGCCCGCCACTGGTAATGCAGATGCTCCAGCTTCCGATTCTCACGCTCCGACGCTCCAGGCCCGCCGAAGAGGCCCCACGAACCTCGACGGTCCCTCATGCCCGGCCAACGACCGACCGACGACCGACGACGACGACCGACCACCGACCGACGACCGACCACCGACCGACGACCGACCAACGACCGACGACGACGACGACCCACGACGATTACGACCGACCGGCTGGCCGACAGACCGGACGACGACCGACCGATCGACAGACCGGACGACGACCGACCGACCCGTGCTGATGGCGTGGCGTCAAGGCCGAGAACGCGCCGAGAACGACCGCGAGAGCGGCGACGGAGCCCCGAGCTCGAGGCGCAGCGCCCCGCAGCGCGGCGTGCGGCGTGGCACGGGCGGCAGCGGAGACGGCGACGACGACGACGAAGCCGACGACGACCACGACGACAACGACGACGACGACGGCGACGACGACGACGACGACGACGACAGCGGAGGCAGCAGGGAGCCCGGGAAACCGGAACCCGGGAACCCAGGAGCCCAGCCGCCTGCCGAAATCGGACCGGGACTTTCACCAAATTCTTCAGTGTTCGCGGGGTCCTTCAGTGCAAGCACCGATTGGGGAACAACATGTGGCGCAACCTCTGGCCCAAGCGGCGCAACCGTGGGCGAAATCCATGGTGCACGTGTGGCGCAGCACTCGACGACAGCGGCAAAGATGTCGAAGCAGGCGGACGGGGCTCCACGCAGTTGGCCCCCTCTGCTCATATACGGGGCTTCGCCCGATCTATGCTCGCCGTTTGGGCCCACGGTCGGGCCCCCCCCAAGGCGAGCTCCCTTGCGATACAGCTGCTGCTCGCCCAAGCCGCTTCCCCGCTGCACGGCTCCAGCCTCGAGCTGGCGACGGGTGTGCAGCGGAGATGCTGCAAGATCCCCTCGGCCTCCTGCCCTCCTTCTGCCTATCGCCTTGACTCGGAGACGAGCCACAGAAATCCAAGGACCAACATCATCGCGATGTACGCCTGCGCTCATGGCCGTGGTATGACGCTTGAGGAGACAAGGAGACAAATGTGCAACGGCAGAAACATACACGCAATGCTATTCCTTCCCACTACAATCTGGCGGCTGCTCCCGATCCAGTCCTCTTCCCGCCCTCCCCGAATGTTGTGGCTCTACCCATCCCTCCCTCTTTTGCATCCCTCACGTCCCCTGAGGCCTGCCATCATTGCACCCCTCTCTCCTCATGCCCCGTCTCCCGCCCTCGCCTCCTCCCGGCCCATCCCTCCCCTCACCTTTCCTCCCCGCCGTCCCCCACCCTCACAACCAGATCTTGTTACACGAACGTCCTCCCACAGTCTCTTGCTTCCAGGAGGAGGGAGAGGCACGGAGGATAGAACGAACAACACGTGTGTATGGAACGTGGGTTTCCCACCGCCGATCGCCTCTATCCTTCTCTCTTTACTTCGCTTTCTCCTCGCAATGTGGACGCTCGAATCTAATAGATCGTCACGTTCCGTGTGAATACATACATAGATGTACTCCTGTGCGCTCCAGAGTGAACGGGCCGATCGGTCTTACGATGCCCCTGGGTGCGTGGGTGAAATGGACGTGTGCGGCGCGGATTGCCGTTGTAATTATTACCTTGTCCCGCGCCCCGCCCCGCGACCGACCCGCGGCACGCCCTGCGACCGACCCGCGACACGCTCGCGACACACCCTGCGACACACCCGCGACCCGCCCAGCGACCCACCGACGACCCGCCCCGCGACCCACCCGCGACACGCCCCATGATCTACCGATGACCTACTCGACGACGGCGACAACCTACCCGCGACCCGCGACCCGAACACACTGCGACCGTGGCAAGCTGCTCCGCGTGGGCTTCGGAAGCCACACTTGTTCGCTCTCGCCCGCGCAACCAGCCGAGGACCCAACCGCAACCCACCAACGCACCCACCCACCCACGCTGGGCTACCAAAGTCGGCGCCTGTGGCGAGTTGTTGTGCAGTGACGTTGGAGAACAACTCTGTTCAGACGCGCGTCTCCAGATGAGACTTCTGGGAGGCGTGCTGACATGTGCGACCGCGATTTTGTCTCAAGAGCCCTCATGCTTGCCAACACTCACACTTTTTGGCGTCGCGGCCACGCGCGCGGCGTCGCGGCGTAGACAGGTTCCGAAAGTCGCGGCGCACGCACCAGCCCGGCTCACGTAGCGGTGAGACGCTGGATCAACCCATAGGGAATCGACAGCTGCACAAAGAACCCAAAACTCCCACACTCAGCCTCCTTGTCCTACCTCTCCTCCCAATCATCCATTCCCCCTGCCCAATTTCCCCCTCCGCTTCCTCATCCTCCTCCTTCTCCTCCTCCAGCTCCTCCAGCTCCTCCAGCTCCAGCTCCTCCTCCTCCCCCTCCTCCTGCTCCTCCTCCTCCTCCTCCTCCTCCCTCCTCCTCCAGCTCCTTCCTCCTCCTCCTCCTCCTCCAGCTCCTTCCTCCTCCTCCTCCTCCTCATTCCTCCTTCCTCCTCCTCCTCCTCCTCCTCCTCGTTCCCCCCCGCGTCCCAGCTCCTCGTGCAAATATTCCTAGGGCCCCACGGCCCAGAGCACACGTGCTGAGCCGAAGCACTCTGGCCCCGTGACCCAAAGAGTATCCGCTTCGTTGGTTGCTCCAGAGGTCCTCCCCCTCCCCTCCTGCCACTCCTCCCCTCCTGCCACTCCTCCCCCCTCCTCCCACCCCGCCCTCCTGCTTCCCTTTTCCACCTCCTGTTCCTCCTCCTTCTCCTCCTCTCTCCCTCCTCTGCCCAGCAGGGCTCAAACCCGAAATGGAGAAACTGAACAGGAGACCGCGGATGCGCTCCCATTCTGCGAAACGGGCGAACTCACTCATGCTTGCTGCCCAAGCTGGCGGGGAAAGCCGGCGCGACCTACAAATCCACCATCGTGCCCGGAGGCACGACGGAAAGTGTCCTCAGATCTCCTAAAGAGTCCCCCTGCCCATCGTTCGGACGTCCATTCCATGTGTTTTGTTCGGTTTCGTGCGTAGTTTTTCGCCAAATGATCAAGGATGCTCCTCGATGGTCCTCGCCGATGGAAAAATGCACACGTCCGAGCGATGCCAAGCCCCTCTCTGCACTGCGTATGGAAACAGCTTCTCATGGAGGCGCTCCCCTCCCAGAATTCTGGGCGATCTCCGGGGTTGGAGCGTCTTCCCGCTTGCTCCCGCGCGGCTTCCAGGAGGCCAGAGGGCCCCACAGACGGGCCCGGAGGGCCCCAAGAGGCCTCCAAGATGTCCAAGAGGGTCCCAGGACGGCCCAAAAACGCTCCGAGACGCCCGAGATGGCCTGAATACTGCTCAAGAAGCCCCCAAGACGCACCGGAAGGGATCAAAAGAAGCCCCTAAGGGCCCCAAGAGGCAAAAGTCATTGATGCCTCTGTGGTTCTTGACGGATGCTGGCGTTCTCGTCTTGTCAAGCTCCCCACGTTCCAAGCCGGCTCAAGAGGCCCCAAGATCGCCCCATGATGGCCCAATCGGTATGCAGCTGTCCCCCAGACAGCCCAAGAGGGCCTCACGATGGCACATTAGGCCTGAAGATATCCCAAGGGGGCCCCAGGAGGGGGAGCTTGACCTTACATTCCGAGCCCTCCGTCCAAAGATGACCCCCGAGACAGCCAGCAGGCCCCTAAGAGGCCCCTGAGAAGCACCAGGAGGAGGCCGCAAGGGACCCCCGAAAGGCCCCAAGGTACCACAAAGACCGCCTCCGAGAGGCTTCCCAGAGGCCTCCCAATAGACTCCCACAGGTATCCAAGAGGCATCCGACTTACAACCCAGGGGAGGTGGCGGGAAGGGCCAAAGGGCACGTACCTTGAGCTGAAGGGAGGCGTGCATGACCGCGCACATCCTACACAGAATCCCCTGTAAGTGGAGGGGAAGAGGGACCGAGACACATGATCACCAATGACACTGAGAGATGGCTCGAGAAAACAGCAAGGTCAGGGCGAGGAACCGATGAGAATCAGCAGCGAGGCAAGCACCATCCCCAACCGACGATTCTAGATGTGGCCTGACAAGGCCCTGGATGGCTTGCACTGCCTCGTGAATGGTCGGGCGTCGATGTGGCAAGTATACGTATTGGAAAAAGCGGCTCTCATGTGCCTGCATGCCGAAATAATCACCTATCAAAGCCAAGCAATCACCAATGATGACCTGATCGCTTGTTCTCTTGTGCATTCGCCCGACACACCAACAACTCCTGCAAGACCAGCATGCACAACACATACTGCATTATCGACTACATCCACTCCAACACACGGTGCCGCATCGTATCGACGAGTCCTTCGAAAGCATGGGAAGTTGCAGGCCGCACAAGCAATGGCAGGACAGATGGTAAGCGTGGTGTTTTCAGCGCTGCAAAGACGGTCGCGATGCAGCTTACAGGGATGCAGATGCGTATTGAATTGCCGAGAACATAGCGCATGAACTAAAGTTGAATGCGCGCGTATTTCACAGCTCGCCGATCGAATATTGCAGTGGCCACGGATTCCACTTCTAACGAATCGCCCTCCAAAACCATCAGAAATGGTTTCAGCCGCGCAGAAGGATCCTAGACTTTCATAACCCGTTGGCGTACCGTGTGCGTGCGCGACCTCATCTGGCCTTGTTGCGGCCTCGTGGAGGCCTCCTGGGCGCCAGAGAAGGCATGCTGGGGCCGCCGCCGTCGTCCACATGCCTCCTGGGGCAATCCAGGCGCGCTTGAGTGGGCCACCTTCAGAACTCAAATGTGAAGCGACGGAAGCAGAGGCCGCCATGCAGAGACACACGGGGCGTCATCTTGGAAGCATCTTCCGGCCTCGGGGACCTCGTGGCAGCCCCCCAGGGGCCTCCCGAGGGCCTCTAGTGGGAGGCCTGCGGAATCTTGGCGTCGTCTTGGGAGTGCCCTGGGCTCTGAGCGGCGGACAGAAACACCATCAGGGCAGACGTGCGGCCGCAGGGCAGCCTTCAATCCGTCCTGGACGGCCTTGAAACTGTCTCGGGACGGGCTTGGGCCGCCTTAGGGCCGTCACGGAGCCCTCGGAATGGAGTCGCTGGGGCTGGCGCCCAAGGCCCCGAACGCGCGTGGAGAGCTCCCAGGGCGAAATCTACTGCGGACAGGCACAAGCCCCACGACAAGAGATCTGGCTATCAGAAATCTAGGGGCACGGGTGCCGTCGACCTTTTTAGATTCCGAAGGTGCCCCACGGCTTCTAATGGTTCCCAGGGCCATCGGGGGTAAGAAGCTTCCGTGGGGCACATGCTAGCAGGTCCGCTTCTTGTTTGAGGTGCCTCTTTGCAAAACATGGTGGCAGACCAGAGGCTCTGAAAACCTGAGCGCGTGCGCGTGGGAATAATCAAATGCTCGGCGTCGGTGGCGTTCGGGACGGTGAGAGTCGGGGACAGGTTGCTGGCCCCTCCAGGTCCCCAGATCTGGCCGAAACCCGCGCATTCTCCTGCAACGCCCGCCCTAGCATTCCGACGATGATGGAAATAGGCCAGCATCTCCGACGGCGCTCGCGCGCTGTTTACCTAAAGAATAGTTTTTGTTCATCCCAGCCCGGTGCACCCCGTGTTTTGATGAACTCAAGTGCTCCGCCTGGGGCTCCCACCCTGGCTGCTACCAGGGAAAATCTTGCGGCTCAGTCGCGCTCTCGCGTGGCACTTCCTCGCGATGTATTGCGGCACCGTGCCTCCAACATCCAATAATCATGCTCTCGCTGTGGGTGTCCTGACGATTTGCATCGGAATCGCGCTATCGGTCAAAACTTCCCCTCGATTCATGCAGGATTGACGCTTCAGCGACCCGCCCGCTCGACCCGGCCGTCTGGGCCCACCCACCCGACCTGCCCGTTAGGGTCTGCCCGCCCGACCCGCCCGTCTGGCTCTGCCGCTTGCATTTCTGTTCCCAGCCCTCCTCCTGTAAATCTCGGGGGCGGCCAAGAGGGGGGCGTCCAAGAGGGGGGGGCGCAAATCATGGCCGGCGGCATGTGCG